ACGATTGCAAATGTAGTAGCAAAAGGAAAAGCAATAGCAAAAGCTTAAGCTTTAGCATTAGGAATAGCAAGATGAATTACAGTCTTAACGCAATAATACATATTCAATAGACGTTAAAATTTCATAATTTCAAAATTACAATTACAACAAGAAAATGTAGACAAAATTTTATATTTGCAGACATATTTGATCATGAAACATATTGATAACATTATTCACTTGTTGCACATATGAAAATAAGAGCAAAAATTCAATTCAATTACGTGCAAGCAAATATATACACATGCATACATACATACATACATACATACATACATACATACATAAGGTATACAATGATAATGTACGAATAAAAAAAAATTTTTTCGAACGTTTACAACGTTTGCAATACCGCAAACAGACTAATTAACACTTGTGGTTTTCGCAAAACTTCAATAAATAAAATTGCAATGCACATGTGAACCGCCGGCCATAAGACAAGCAATTTATAGCTTAATATAAAGTTATTATCTCCGTGAAGTCAGAGCAAAGAATGAACATAACCGGCCGGTCTTGATATGTCACTGTATGTCTTTATGTTTAAATTCTTTACTTACTCGCCGCGCGACTATTGCAAAACAATTAACAATTTTTGTTTGAAATTCAAATTCAACGGCAGGATTTCAAAAATGAATTCGAAAGATCACTTCTTATGAAATAAGAAATCAGACTTCACTTAATGAATGAATCTGAAGATGTATAGATTTTCAAACGAATGCGATTCCAAACGCCAAAGAAGAAAATGTTGTACGTATGTTGTGTATATGATATTTGAATTTGAATGCGCACTTTGGCAATCGTTAATGGGACGATGAATGATAGTGAATCGCTTCGTTGCAGTTATCACTTGTTCGCACTGATATGAAAGGCATTTGCTGATCAGAGCTTTTGTTTTCATATGGAAAGGCACCGAAAATGGCTCGATGACAGCTTTGCGTCTCACAATACTCAAATTGCTTGAGAGCTAGCTTAGCGATGAACAATATTTTTTTATCTTTATTTTCTATTCAAAAATTTCGGTTTCATATTTATATGCCTACCTATGTATTTGTATGTAGGCGAATAGGATGGTTACGGAATGCAATGAATTGCGTTTTTGATAGAAAAATATCGCAGAACTCATGAAGAGTAGTAAAATGCTCTACTATTATGAGACGCTTTTCGGATCCAAATACATTTTCAAGTTTGATTCTATCGTTTGAAACGATATTTGCGTGACGTAAACGTACATCTGAATGTTAAACGACCAGCTTAAAGCATTAAGTCCTTAACTATCTTGTTCTTGTATTCGTCGTTCTTTGCTTACATGCTGGCTGCTAATATTTGCGTATAAAAAAAAAAAGAAGCATTCTCGTATTGGACAGTGGAAATTTCATTTTAAAAGTAAAAATTTAATGCAACCACTTTGCTGAACTTTTTCGAGCGTATCTCTAAAGACATGCCAAAAGTACTCACATAGTGATGTCAAGAAGATTTTAAGAAGATGTTAGGAAAGTAAAAAAAGAAGGTACTTGCTTGAATGAGGTTATGCGGTAAACGGTGTCTTACTTCATTTTAATCAAACCAGTGTATACAAGAATATTTGTTTTAGACGATCTAAGGTGAAGTAGAAGACTAAATTGTATTAGGTTTATTTGGCTTAATCTCATTCTCTTGTTGGTGAGCACAAAAAATGTACAATACATACGTGCATGGATAGACAAAATGCCAGAGAGTAATTATTTAAAAGTAAGCTGTGGAAAGGTTAAAGAAGAAGCTCCATCAACGCTCCATTTACGCATTTATGCAATGGCATACGCATCTATAATCAACTAGTGCCAGCTGGATGGTAAGCAAAGCAGAAAATATCAAAAGGAAATTTTGAAATGATTAATGCTTACAGTTAGTGGTAAATGCGGTTGCATGTATAGTACGATTGTAAACATCCATATAAACGTATGTACTTATATACTTGCCCGTACATATTGATAAATGCTTATTACAGAGAGAGTTGCAAGAATAATATGTTACAATGGTAAGTGTTTAAATTAATCATCTAAACACACACATACATTGCAAAGTATTATTTGGCTTAGATGCTAACGCAATTTATTGAAAAGAATCCAAGTATGTACGTTTGCATTTATTTTGAAATGAAAACTTAAATAAAACTCTTAAAGTTTTCCTCCAAAGAAAAAAAAAATAAATACATATATATATATATATATATATTTACAAAGTTCATTTAATCTATGTTTTTGGTTAATGTTTTAATTATGATAAAAGAAATATTTAATGTAAATATTTTATAGCTAAAAATCTGGTATGGCACTGCTAACGAAAAGAAAGAGAAGAGAGCGAGCTAGCATTTGGATATATATGAAAGGAATTAAATTTATATTAGGCTACCTTCCAATAGTAGATAATCCGACATATCATTTGAGTCCTTTAAGGGAAACGGAACATGAAATTTGAAAACGAAACTTTTCAGAGTTGATACTGTACTGTGGACGCATGTATCGAGAAACATTTGGCCAGTTTCAATAACGACTTGCCTGTAATCACCTCAACTGTTTCTCCTAAATTTAAAGTCGATGTCTTCACTTTTGTCACCGAAGAATATTTAACACAAAGATACACACACACACACACACACACACACATTCACCTCTCCATACAGACGGACAAATGGACAGCCATATATAACTATATCGATCAAGTGCCTATATGCTTAATAGAATTTTTTCGGACTTACAAAGTCTTTGCCGGAACGAATATGCTCTGCATCCTGCGGTGATGGAAAATAAATGCATAGTAAGTACAGATCCTATGGAGATTACCACAATTTAGACCAAGTGCTTCTCGAATGCCATTAATTTTTGGAAATAATTTTATATTATGTATACTATAGTACTGTGTCAGCGGTAGCCAATTCGCACTTAAGATAACATGAACAGCTTTGTTCTCATGTGTCTGAGATCATACGACACAGATCATCCGTTGATTTTCATTCAAAAATAACAACTATTTAAATGTATGATTGTAACAACAATCAGTGATATTCACTGCTGCGCTGGAACATTAAGCGGTGTTCAATAACACGTTTGATTGCCGATAATTTCAGCAAAGACAAGCAAGGAAGCGCTACAACGGTAATGTTATTGTTAGCCAAAGAGTCGCTTGCCAATGAACTGTCATTAACGTTTACGTAATCATATTATATGTAAGCTTTACATAATATCAATGTAACAGATGCGTTGTATGTCAATAATGAAGAAATACGATATTATTGTAAAATCAAAAAATCAGTAACACTGCTGTGTCAACATCATCTTAATTTTCAGTAGCCGTTATTTGCAGATTCCATAAAAGTTCAAGGCTATCGAAGTGAAGTACAGACACGACAATACATTAAAGAGATGAAAACTTATTGCCTGCCGATATAGATAGCAACCAAATTTTTGGGCGGTAAAATAATCTCTTTTTTTGCTGTTAGTATATCATTAAATGGCCATAATAGTGGAGAGTGGTTTGCTGTGTAATTGATAGGTTGTTACGAACACTAAAACTGTAGTATGCGCAGTCAGTGTTCGTACTATGGCGGTTAAAGGCTGTTAGATTAACGAGTAGGCTTTCTTTTTCATTTTACACTCTACGGAATCCGTCGTGAAGCTGCATATGTACGCATATGTACATGTGTAGGCAGCCACTAAAAAGACAAGAGAGTACGACCATCTTCTCTGATCAATTGTATTACAATCATTTTTCGAATCCATTCAAACATATTTGCTCGTTTGTCTGTCTGTTCATCTGCTCATCTCTTCATGAGCCCCCCCCTGTCCATCTATCGATCTGTGCAGTTGCTCTTTGTCGGTCCATGTGTCCATCTGTGCTTATATGCAATTTTCTAGATATTCTATATTCTAGAGAGTCTGCTGCAGCAAAAACTGCAGCCAGAAATTCCACGCAGGGGGTATCCTCTGGTCAACCTGACCCCCGTGGTACCTTCATTATTTTAAAAGTCTAAGGTCCGACGTTGGGTTGCGTGTGGCTACATACCAGTTAGATCCATACCTCTCAGACTGGTGGCCCAAGTGCCAATGTGAAACAAGCTGAAACGCTACAAGGAAATCCGCTCGGTGACTCGGTGACAGTTGTTACACCGGCGCACAGACGTCTTTCAAAGACACTGGTTGCAAATCTGCTCAAGCTTTGCATATAAACGTCCTCAGAGAGGGCTTCGTTAAAAATGTAGTCATTCTCGTCCACTCTAATTCCCATAGCGGCTAAGTCTCTAATGTCGGCGTAGAGTGAACATTCGCAAAGCACCTGCTTCCTATTCTCAGACCGACAACCACAAGAATACGGATAACCCAATAACAGATAAAGATAGTGGGAAAGATATAGAAGGAACCAAAAAAGGATTCCTCATGAGCCAATCAAAATGAATAGAAATCGTAGAGAGTTCAGGTTTGTAGCGAATGCATTCAACGAAGTCATTTTCAACTTGTATTAGGAACTTTGCCTGATTACAACTTATTCCCCAGACTTGGCTCCTTTCGATTACCACACAAACCATGCAGACTAACCGACAAGACACAAAAGATCATAGAGAGTGATGTCGCATATATCGATTGTTAAGTTTTGTAACAAGTATTTTTTAATTTAATTTCTAATTGCTCTTGATAGTAAATTGCGGTATATATGTATATATATATTGTGGTATATAGTAATAGGGTGACCTGTGCATATTCTATTGTAAGTTTCTTTGAACATAAATTCCAATATATATATATATATATATATATATATATATATAAAGTTTTTGCATTCCAATGACAGTCTTTCTTGTGAAGCGGAATTCTTTTTTTTTTTGTTTTTGTTTATATTATTATCTTATATTGTATTTTCTTCTATATATATTCATTCATCTTTAGAGATATAAACATAAAATTTTAATTGAATTAAGGAAAGTTACTTACCAACAGGACTCTCCTCATTCCAAAATGAATCGTCCAGCGTATAGTCAGCTTCTGCAATTATACGAAAATATACAAGGAACGTGTAATTGTTATCTTGCTAATTACAATAACGATGTTCTTCATTAAAGTTATACTTTCTTTTAACCTTTTCCAAGTAAAGGGATACAGAGGCAACTTTACTGCACACAATTGCAATATATTTATGTATGTGTGTATGTTTTTTATATATGTATGTATTATATGTATATATGTATCACAGTGTAGCAGTGAGATGCGCTAGGTGATATAATGCAATTATAAAGGATTTAAATAATTAAAAATATATTTTAATTATCTTTTAATACGATAATTACCTATGGGGAGAATAATTAGGGAGTTTTAAGAAAGCTTTACGACAAAAGTGTTCAAATTAATATTTTAATGTAAAGTAAGTAGCAAGCAGAAGATGCCCTTAGCAGTATTCATTAATTTATACATTATTCGGCTAACGTATTTCAATACGATGTTCTTGATAAACAATGGTAACATTTTTAAGATTACCATAGGAAACACACATCCTTAAGCAACAAATTGAGTCACACTTGAATTCTGGCCGTAGAACGAGTCCGAACGAGTATCATTTCCCTTATCGAACGTGTCAAGCAGAATCTTAAAGAGGAGAATATTTATGTTCTTATCTTTCTTGAACTAACAAAAGCCTGCCATATACTGAACTTTTAAATTAATTTCTCTAGATTTGCATGTAAACTTATGTTTGGTTCCCATCCTGTTCAATCTACTCGGGAATGATTTTTCCGATTCGCTACGTGACGATTATCGACTTTTCACCTAACCAGATGATGTTCTCCCGCTCTTTAACTGCGATTTAAATAATATTCACGCATTCGAAAAACGAAGATTAGCGAATTCCTAGCACGCATCAATTCCTGGACGATGGAAAGTGTTCTCTGTATCAGAACAAGTGAGAGTAAAACTACACTTTTGAACTCGCCTCGGTTTGGTTCGCCCAAGTTAAGTGAGTCTCATATTGACCTGGTGAACTCTATGCCATGTCTGAGGGGGTTATTCATTGTGACTTTACCGTCCACTTGGACGGTGTGTTTCTGCTAAGACATGCCCTACGCTACGATAATTGTGCAATCTGAACCTGCGCTAGCCCGTGCACACTCTTCTTCCATCACCTATCAACTTTTGCATTGAATTCATTCTCTGGCTGCAGGTCTTGTAATCTGGATAAACTTCGACTGACTGGCAACCGCATTACGCGTTTCATCTATAATGTGAGGCTTAGAGACCACATTTCTCTCTTCTCTCATTCATATTTTTTTGAAATTCTCCTTCTAATGTACCCTGGCCTATGTCTTTATAGTTGCGAATTTAAATAAATAACATAACATAAACTTTGAGCACCAACGACGATTCAATAAAATTGACTTTGAAATGAGATTAACTGCACATTCTCCATCATCAGCTTAAGTATCAGATATTTGTCCCTCTGTCTGACATGCTTACACATCCGTTTAACTTTTCCTTCCGCCGTTGGTGCCTTCATCCTTTCATTTGCCTATTGGTCTTAAGATAGAAATCTTTGATTGGATATAACTAATAGCCGCATGGATTTACATTCAAAAATAGCCGTGAGCCGAGTTCGCCAACCATTTTTTTCATCTGAGGCTGACCCATATTCCATAGAATAGGACTCGCGAGTATCAAGTCCGTGGTCGCGGGGTTCGAATCTCAGTGCGGTAGACAATACTTTGTACTGTATGTTAATTACTTAATCTTGTACTTGCAAGCCTACAATTGTAAGCTATTACCTTGCCGTAGCTTGGTTGCTTCTGAACGATGTTCTTCTCTATAAGGTCACACTTTAAGCCTCTAAGGCTGAAGATATATTCTAGCCAGGAAAGAATAAATTAATAAATAAAGAAATGCATAGATCGAAAATTGGCGATTTGTCCACTAAGAAACTCGCATACTTCGGAGGGGACGCGCACGCCCATGTGAATATGTAGCCTTCAATTTGTAACTGTTCTACCTTTGCTGACTGAGCGCATGCTAAAGCTACGGCCTAATTATGGTCAAGTTGCACTGACATATGCATGCGCGAACATCGTCTTGATAATCGCGACTTTTAATGCACATCTTTTTTTTTATTGAAAATCTATCTCTGCGTAGAAAATGTTCGTTAAAATAGTTTTCGCAACCAGCGTAAGCAATAAGAGTCAGCCTAATCCAATTAGGCTAACACTAATTTTTATATGCATTTGTAGATTACGTAATAGTTTGTGTTAATTGTTATAAATAGGGGCAAATATTTTTTTTTTTTTTTTTTTTTTTTTTTTTTTTTTTTTTTTTTTGGAAACAGACAGGATAAGCGTGTCGCAACAACAGACACTTCAATGCGGTTGAATGGTGTTAAACCACAAGTTTTCTCACTTTAGCTATTAAAAGAACAATAAAAAAAAAAGAAAAGGAAAAAACAAAAACAGAAAATTATCATAGATGTATGTACGTTGGTTTCTACACGAGAAAGCATGATAAAGGCGTGATTGGTGAGAGATCCAAGGCCGAGTTATGTGGCATGTCTGAAGCAAAGTAGGAATTAAGTGAAGCATTGGATAGATGGCATTCGAGGAGCATGAAACAGAGACGCATCGAAAATTGTTACCTTGAAAATGAAACTGTGCTTGCAACAGACTAGAAGAGCAATAATAACAATCAAATGAAACTAGACAACAAGAACAACAATAGCGCCTACGTCAGCGCTATTCAGCGAACGCTTACATTTATAAATATATATGTATACGTACATGTTATTTTCTAATGACAACGAAAATTTGCAACTGATGGTTGGCTCAATGTCAATTCTCAATTACCCTGTGCGTGTGTGCGATATGTATATATATATATATATATATATATATATATATATATATATGCATTTATGCGGTTGTAGCACAATCACAGAGATTCCATAATGTGCAATTCAAAAATCTATTTCACGCTCAAACTGTCTTCGTCAGGATTATACAGCCACAGCCATAGCCATAGAAAGTAACAACTCTTCCATTTGCACTACACGCAAACAGACAACCAACTAAGCATATGCAGACAATCGCCACCCACACAAAAAACACTCACACACACTTGCACACACACACACACACACACACACACACACACACCCCCAACCATAAAACTGTGCATATATGAACGAATGAATGCACATTTCATCATAAACAGATGCAGTGTTGGTAAATGTGTTTGATAAATACCCACAGAGAAAACTGCATGGCGTTTAGTATGCAGTTAGTTGGGTAGATGGGTAGATGGATAGATAGGTAGATGTGTTTTATACATTATATTGCCTCCAGTTATATAATAGAATTCATGTGTGTGATCTTATATGTGTATGTTCATATTTGCGTATGTATGCGTATGCTTATATGCGGCACAATTTATTATTTATTAATGTATTGTGCATTTATGATTTTGATGGATTTTCTAAAATGAATTTATAACATTTAATATAGAATAGGCGGTGGTAGCATATACACAAACCTACATACACATATACACAATATGAGCACAAACAAACTTGATCACAAACAGAAACATGCAATGACTATATCACTTCTTAACGCACACATGACCTACGACACACATGCACCAACGTATATGCGTTTGCCTTTAATAAAACCTTCTTCGATATCATCGAAGCTACCGTTGATGTTGTTTTTGTTGTTGTTACTGCTGCTGCTACTGAACTGCTATAGTGCCTTAAAATGTATCTACATAAACTAAATATATATGCAATATACGTTATGTTTGGGTATCTAAATATGTCTTCACATATACATAGCGATAAAGTTTCTTTGCCACTTAAGTAAACTCGGCTACGTTTTTCATAATACATTTTTCTCCTTTTCCAGCGAATTCTGTCATGATTGCTGCTCATGTAGGTTAGCGCAAAAAAAAAAAATACAAAAAAAAAAATAAAAAATAAAAAATAAATATATATATATATACATATATATATATGTATAAGTATAAATATATAATATATGAGTGTACAAAGTATGTATGGAAATGTATTGTGTATAAACGTTTTTCCAAAATCCAATAAATATTGCATTAAAAATTACTTTATAGATTCCTTAGTGCATGCGCGCACGTGTATGTAAGTGTGTGTGTGTGTGTGCGTGTGTGCGTGTATTTATGTGGGTGAGATGTTATTTGCTTTCAATTCAATAAATATTGCCATTCAAAAAAAAGTTCCTATATTTGGAATTCTTCTCAATTTCAATTCTTGTATAAAAAAAAAATTAAAAAAAAAAATAAAAATTGGAAAATGGAAAAAATTCTATGACTTATGTATTTTATTTATTTACCGTCGATCTCTGCAGCAACAAAGCGTTTAATATCGCGGTTTATTCAAAAAAAAAAAAAAAAAAATTTGATTTCGATTTTGTTGAGCCATCTTTTGCACTTTTCGACTATTTTAACGGAGCTCGTATTAACAACCGATTCTATCCACTTGAACGTGATTTAATGGACCTATGCAGGTGCGTTGCATGTGTGTGTATTACCGCTTCTAATAGAGAAGAATTTTTATAATCATTTCATATTTTATTGCAGAAGCACAATGAAAATTGGTCCCTTGATCGCAACATGTTAAGTGAATTAAATTGTTTCAAAGTATTTCAAAAACTATGACCTGTAGATTGAATACAAAAACAAATAGGCGGACGACGCACGGACAGACGGATCGATAAGCTTAAATCGTATCAAAAACTGATTCTGAACCGATCGATATAATAATAATTGGGTCGATCTCAAACTATTCTGAATATTACATGCGTCCACACAAACTTAATATACTCTGTACTACAAGTGGTGCATAAGAATCCTGCAAATATATAGATCTGTGAGACTATTTTCCATAAAGACACAAACACAAATGAAGTTGAAGTAGTAGTAGTAGTAGTAGTGTTCAAATAGTCTTTCTTCTCATTCTCTTCGCTCGACAATTTTATGCTCAAAAGTGC